ATATAAAAAAATAGAAACTTTTATTCTTTTCTTAAGATAAAAGATAATTGAAGATCCCATAAAAATATAAAATATACGATAGAATAAGAAAATTTCAAATGCAATGAAAACGTACTTGTTTCAGGAATTTCTTTCTTATATTGCATTCCAGTTAAATTTGCCAAGATTAAACTTAAAGATGCCAATGTTATGAATTGTTGTGATTTGGACATATTTTTATCACATTTAATAGGCTTATAAGTTTTAATAGTACAATTCTTAAATGACTGATCTTTTAATTGTTTCTACAACAATTAATATAATGAATATTTTTTTGATTTCATTTGAACAACATAATCATATATATTGTATGATATGATTCACACTTACCATTGAATCAATTTTTTCAAATAAAGCAAATATTAAAGAATACAGATTCAGCATGTTCAAAAATAATATTCTGCAACAAGTCGATTGAATCAAAGATAATAATCATAAAATTAAAATAATTTCAGAAAAAATTAATAAAATCAGAGGGGAAATTTACCGTGCAAGCTGCAAACGCAATTGCTTCCTGGGATGATAGCTCTCCAACAGGCCCAATATTTCAAAGAATACTGGGAACAGATATGTGATTAGTGACAATACGACTGTAATTTCGTTTTGACGCCACCAATTATTCTGTTTCTTGGAACTTCGTGCAACAATTTTCACTACGACATAGGCTGACAATCCCAATAACGCTATCACTGATACATTAACGAAGATCCTCATCAATATTATCTTCCAACTAAAATTTTATCATTAAATTAGCATTAAATTCATGGAGCATAATAATGAAATTATAATAAAATCCATATTAAAATAATTTCAAGTGTAATAAAATATAATTAGAAATTATAAAAATTCACTCAATTAAAATGAATATACAAATAGTAGATACCTATAGTATATTGTAATACATTTTTGCATATCATTATATTTATTATAATATTTACATATATAATTAATTCATAATAAAATATTCAATCACTTTATAGTTTATATATTTTTACTATTAAATTTATAAATTTGATTATGAAAATAAAATGTAAATGCAAATTTGATCAAAAATTATAAAGTAATGTATCTCTTGAACTCTAGATAAAAATATATATAAAATTTAATAAAAATAAACTTTATAAAAATATTAATGGAATAAGGGAATACTTTTTCGAATGATCTCACTTTCTCTCGTCTTTTTCCTTCTCGGCCTCTTCCAATAAAGCTTCTTTGAATCCAAGCACGATGTTCGCCGTCCTATTATGCGCGGTTTCAGGGTTGCCGATCATGAAGTCCCAACCTGTGAATAATTTCCAGGAAAACGCACATTCGTCCTCTTTTTCACTGAGTTTGCTCAACCGAGAATTTTCTGCCATCCTAAGAGCATCATTTCTATCGAATCGTTTCACAAATTAAACAAATTAAATATTAAGCCTCGCATGACGCATTATTTAGATTTTGGCTCGATTCTGATCAAAGTATGATTTCCATTATTTAAATATACTGAAATATTTTCAATAAATTTAAGATTTAGTCGAAAATTTATTCGTGAATTATTTATTATCAGGCGAGATTTAATATTCAAATGAGTCATTGAAAAATAATTACATATTCTATATAAATTTGTTTATATCAATGTTATTGAATTATTTTCCAATATTTTGAAGTATTCGTTATAGATAATTATAATAAAATCACAAATTTCATTTATTTAACGCACATAATTTTTTCCACGTAATAAGCGTGATACCTCAGCTTAAAATTATCATCGCAAGAATATTCGAACAAATTACTCAAATTTTATTTTTATGTTTATAAAATTAGAGAAATAATATGGTTTATTACCGCGAATAATAATTATTATGCTCTAAAATTATTTAATTGATTAATTGATCGCAAAAGAAAATATTTTGCATTAAATAATTGAAATTTATGTTTCTATTAATTGCAACCAATATTTTTAACTAAAAAAAAAATATTATTGATAACATTCACATAAAAAAAAAGCAATCAATTTAATTAATTCGAAATATTAATACGATTTATCTTACTTGCGCAATATGGCGAGGAAACTGTAGATGTAAACCACCAAATTAGTGACGAAATAAGCTAGGGGTAATCTATACCCGCTTTGCGAATCTTTGTTAGTGTACCAGCCGTAAAAAAATGGCGAGTACTTCAAGATTCCTTCGAATTCCCATAGAGTTAGCAAGTTCTTCGACTTTATTTTCTCCTCTTCGAGCATAATCTTCCCCGCCGCAGTTTCGTCTGCTGTGAGCATCTACATATCGCGAAAAATATCCAAAGAAATTTCACTACTTTCTTTTCTTTTAATAAATTAGGAATTAATTAAATTTAAATTTCTTATTTTTTTTTTTTTTTTTGCCAAATATTTCTTAAGATTCGAATCTTCTTCATATTCTTCTTTCACAAAATTGGTTGTGAATGTGTTGAAGAAAAACTCATAATGATTTTCTATACTTACTTGCTTCTTTATTTATTCTTTATTAGATTTATTTAGAGAATATATATCATATTATTATTTATTAGAATATATAATTTATTTATTTATTAGAATATATATCATATTTTGCCATTTAATTAAATATATTACAGGATTGTTTAATTATTGAAATTTTTACTGTACCTCGGGAATTGCCACGAAAGCAACGAGGATAATTGCCATAACGAGATTAATCCAAAACAGCCATCGAAGGAAAATGAAGTACGAGGCTACAGCCGAGCCAAAATGCGACTCGATCTCTTTTATGCGAAATTCCCAGGGAATCAGCCATGTTTGAAGATTCACTACCTCTCTACGGCAATATTGCCATTTCTAGAATTGAATGAAAATTAATAAAAATCGATCAAGCACGAAATCTACGGTGGATACGAATAATTTTTCTTCACAAATTATTACTTTCGTGGCGAACAGAGAGACACGCGCAATGGCGTCCTTAGTGCTTCGAGTCTGAGCCAATCTTTCCTGAAGAACATCCTCGTGCTTTCTCACGTAGGATTTTGCTTGCCGCACCAGCTTTATTTTCCTACGAAGCGGCCAAGGTTGTTGCTTCACCCCGCTCAACACCTCTTTGTGCAACTTCAATTTCTCGAATATCTGCTCCTGGCTTCCGCTCTCCTCTATCGAGATCGCGGTTCTGCACAGGTTTTTCACGACATTTTCTATCAATCATTTTCATTTTATCGAGCTAATATCTTTTTTTCTCTATTTTATTAATTAAAACACTTCTTTAAATTGCTCGAGTATATTTGTAACATCGATTATAAGAATGAATTGAAAGAGAAGGTATTGAAGTACTAACTCTCCGGAGCTTATAGTATAAGCGGAAGATCTTCGATGAAGAGTACCCTCGGCTTCGATGCCGAAAGGAGAGGACGGTCGACGTTTTCGCCTACTTTGCCAACGGCTAGAACTTCGTCGTTGCATGATCTCGCACGCCGAGGCAGAGTATTCATCCTCGTTATCCTTCTCTTCATTAAAAATTCGCACGTTAAATGTACATATAATTTCTTGTAGATTATTCATTATATAAATCTCTTAAATATTAATTTTATATACAAGTTAAACACATTCGTTGGACATATTTGAAGAGTCGATTTTAGAAACTTAAAAAAAAAAAAACAAATATAAAAATTATCGGTTAAATTTATAAATAAGATTGTAAATTTGTGCAAAATTTATGTAAAATTTAAATGTATATACAAAATATTTACTAGAATGTAATGATATGCAAAAAAAAAAAAAAAGAGAGAGAAACAAATCTCAATTTAAAATTTTATTTTTATTTCGCATTGATTTATAAAAATATTATTTTGCATGAATATCCATGCAATCTAGTTATAAGCAATTGAAATTAAGATGAAGGGAAACGCATGTAAAATAAATATTATTCTATCTTCATCTTCTCTTGTATTTCTATCTTATTTTATATTTGTTTTGACCTCTGGAATCTCTCTCAAAAGATGTCCCATGAATATATTAACACTCTGTATAGGATGCCTCATCTAACTTGAACATCTTAAATAAATATCTCATTTTTTATTCATAGAAAAAGTGTTGAAGAAAAATATTAGTTGATTTAAAGGTGTAAATTTTATAATAAGCAAAAAAAATATTTTACGTTTTAAAATACCAAGATTTTTGAATCGAATAATATTTTTTTATTTGATATTCTTCCTTATAATAAATAATAAACGAGATATTTAAAATGAGATGAGGTTGTATGTGTTAAAAAAAAAATTATAATATTTTTATAAAATTTTTTACTAAATAATAAAACTCTTTGATCATTTTTTTTTTAAAGTTAATACTAAACTTTTCTTTATAATAATTAAACAATGAATATTTAAAAACTAAAAATATAATTTTAAAAACTTATTCCTCATATATTATAAATTTAATTTATTATTTATTTTAATTCTCTCGTGTTGTAATAATTTATTTTAATGAAATTTTCTAATTTTAACTTAATATTTAATATTTCCTATAACATATTCTACTATAATAATAATTGTACATATAAAAATATAAAAATATAAATCTAAATAAAATAAATATTAAAGATATTGTGTTATAATACCAATTTTTATATTTTTTCTTTTTACAAAAATATTTAAATTCTAATGAATTGATTTGTAATCCAAAAATAAATATTCTTCGATGAATTATTTATAATAATAATCTCTTTTATTATACAAACCAGCTACAGAGATTATCTGCATATCCGTGATATTTCCGATGTCAATGATATTTTCCCTCTTTTTTTTTTTCACTTAATTCAAACTTTCTCCTATATATTCTCAACGTCTTCGTCGAAGAAACTGACAATCGGACAACCGACAAAGATGAAAGTTTCGCCTACAACAAAAACCGAACAATTAGTTGCACGAATTTTATCGGTAAATCATCCACGTGCATACATGCCACATTTATAAGCATCGAATGATGAACGCACACGATTTCTATTAAATTGATTATAAAAATGAATAAAATTCGAATTTAATTGTAAAGATATTAATTAGGAAAAAATCTAAAGGCGTTATAAAAGGTTTAAACGAAGAAATCGATTGATCAGAGAAGATGCCAAGCATATGCACACGATTCTTATTAAATTTGTTATAAAATTCAATAAAGTTTCTCGTCGAATTCAATTTTTAAAATTATCAATCAGAAACTAACACTATTATCTTTATAACGTAGGAAAAGATTTAAATGAACAATGAAGAAATCGAATGATCAAAAAAGATGCCAAGCATATGTTGCAGGATTAATAAAAACTTGATTAAAGACGAAGTAGAGACGAAGTAGAGACGAAGTAGAGACGATGGATTCGAAAAGACTGACAACGTGTCGAATAAAAGACAACCTGGTCATTCCCTAGTGGAAACACCCTTGTGTTAAAATCTATAAATTGATTGTTATGTCTGTTCTATTTGATATTGGGGATGTCGTGTCTGCCCACGGTACAAATCTTCGAAAGCTCACGAAAGCTCGTATATTAAGAATAAGTAGATACTTCATTTAACGATCGTTTTGTTAATTGACTGTTATATTGGTTAAAAAAAAATAAACGCGTTGATCTAGTAATAATATTTCAATTTAATTACAGAAAAGAATATTTAAGATAAAATAAAATTATTTATTCTTTTCTGTATTGCTAAAAAATAATTTGAAATAAGAATTTTTGTAAAATTATTATATTATAATACTTGATTTATTTTTTTATTTCATTAGAATTTAAATATTTATATTTTTATATGTATAATTATTATTACAATTTTATCTGGAATATCTCCTAACAAGCAACGTTAGAAAAAACAAATATTATAATATCGTTTTTTTTTAATTAAGTTAAAATATTATATACAATGAATATGTTATAATAAACATAAATAAATACAAAATTTATAATACATATACGCTATAAAGAAATGAGTTTTTAAAATTATATTATAAAAATATACATATAACATCATTATATTATAATTTTTAATTAATTTTGAAATTTTAATATATTTTTTTTTTTTGTAGAAATATGAATGATTAATTTAAAATATCATATACTAGTAATAATAATTTTTTTAATTAATTCATGTTCTTGCATATATACGTGTAATTAATTTTTAAGAATATGAATTCGTAGATGAGTGAACAATGATAAAACATGACAAATGTGTCAATGTAAATGTTCGGAAAACTGAGGTCACATGCGACGTGCCGCACCCTAGATAGTAATCATGCTCACGTATAACTCGCATTCTTCACGTGACCTCACCTTACGCTTTCAAGATAATCATTCTTTCTTCAGAATTCCACATCATGTTATACGCGAGATTCAAAAATTCCCAAAATCTATTTTCTTCTTTTTTATTGTCTATCTTTAATAAAGATCTATAAACTTTATTGTTATTGTTATTGTTATCATTTTTATAACACTTTCATTAAAATCATTTGGAATAATTTTTAAATCATTAAAATCATTAAAATTGAATTATATACATCATTTTTTCTATTAAAAAATTCAAATTTTATTTATTAAGCAATATTAATGCTTGAATTATTATATATAAAAATATTATCTTTCGTTTTTTATTTTTATTAACTATATTATTAATTTAGATTTTATGTTTATTGTAATTGTATTTTATATGTTTTATAAAAAGAAGTTTGATATAATGATATAATTAAGAATAATTAAAAGCTTTTATATTCAGAAATTTAATTTTCTCAAAACTTATTTTGATAATTATCAGATGCATTCTATGACTACTCATTTTTTAAGAACTTATCGAGATTCTATAACAGTTTTTAATTCTCACGTAATATTTCATTTTATTTTTGATACATTTGCTAATAGAATCAAAACAAATAATAGTGCATTACAAACAAGAACAAATATTCTATCATCGATTATCTCTAACTTTAGTATATAAAGCACTTCATCTTATACATGATATTTAAATGACAATTAACTATATATTTGTAAGTTTTAAAAATTGAATGCTTTATAAAATTACAAAAAATAAAATATAAATAATGATAAATAATAATAAACAATTGTTCACTAGTATTATTTTTCAAGAAAATTTAAAATTCCTTCTTAATCGTAACCGAACAATATTTTCAAACAAGTTTATTTTAAAAGAAAAATGATAAAAAGTCACCCAATTGATATCCTATACTTCATTTGTAATCACATACATACCAACAGAAACAAGGAGCTTAAATAATGTAAAAAGAAAAGAGATACATTACATAGGAATCAGCGCCATCTCTACAATGCTTTATACAAATTAATATAGACAGAGAAAGCAAATAGCAGAAGAAAGATAGAGATAGAATAAGAATTGACTACTAATGCCATCTTTTGAATATACAATTAACTACTTAAAAACAAGTTGAGATAAAAGATATCTCTTTTATACTACAGTTATCATACAAATAAAAATTTAATAAAAAAAAAAAATATATATATACGATGCATTTCATTATTCCTCGATTTGAAAAATTAAAAAATACATTAAAAATAAGTACAGAATAAACATAAAATATATTTTAATGATTTAAATAACTACAGCAATAAAAATATATCATTTTTATGTCATTCCCATTATTACCAAGAAAATCAAAAATTTTATCTCATTCATTAAATTTATAATTCTGCGGGAATTATAAATATCACAGCAAATTAAAGAATTTATAAAATAATAAAAATTTTTGAAACAATTTCTAAATTATTTTACAAAAGAGTAACAAAAGAAATCCAACTTACTGAAATTCATGAAATTGAATTTTTTATCAAAAATTATTATTATTTATTTGAATTATTATGAATTAATTTATTCATTATTATTAATATATCAAATTGTATATTTTTTTTTCAAAAAGAAAATTAAATAATAATTTTTATAAATAAAAATGATTATCAATAAGAGATGTTATCAATAATTTAATAAATAAATCTTAATAACAAAGTAAAAAAATAACCACGAGCGCAGCCAATTAGCTCATATTAGTTGCTATAAAATTTATAATTATATCATAAATATGATTATGAATTTTATAGCAAATAATAATGATTTTCCAGGTCTCACCGCGTGGAGGTTGCTGCGAATTGGAGACCCATCCTATCCACGATTCCATCCACCCTCCTTTACGCAAAAATTTATTTAAAAACAAAGATAAAGCTTCCTTTTGATGTAGATTTGCAAAACGTTCCATCTTTAGTCGTTGTGCAAAACAAACAGCAAAAGGAATTCTAAGGAAAACCGACGCGACAAGCTAAACCTGAAAGTAAAAATTAATTTATA